TTTGATTGTTACTTCGAAAAGTAAAGTTTGGGAGCAGTAAGTATCGCTGAATGATTTAAGAAAAAATATTTTTAAATACCCATGCATTGAAATGATCTGGAAAATTTAATGAAAACTGTAACAGTGTTCGGATGTGTGGACTGACGTCCAAGCTTTGGAAAGGATTTGCGGAAAGTCAGTTCCTTAGGAGTTTAATCACGAAGCAGTGTGAAGAACTTCGCTGAAGCGTCTTCCACATTTCTGTGACATTTCACCCAAGGAAGTTGCATCTGCAAAAGTGAAAGTTGACTTTGTTAAAGCTAATGAGAACTTCGTAGATTCAGTGGAAATGCGTCGATTTCAGCTGAGATGAGCTAAAACGCTAACTGCATTATGATGTTTTATAGTAGCTTTATTTTTTTGATTGCTAAAACAATAATGTAAATATAAAAATAATATAAAATGATAATTTCAGATAAAATGCATTAAAAGAGCATTTTAATGTATAAGCTAGAGGTTGTGCTCATATTTTAATTAAAAAAACGTAGAACACCTCTGCAACACCTTTTTTCTTCAGGTACCGCCTCTGTTCTATTTTCCTTGAATTTTCAGTCTTGGTTCAAATATTGTCGTGGCAGACAATATAAAGGTCAACAAAAGTTGACTGACTGTGACTTTCTGTTTATTATTATATAGCACATTGAAAATTATTATCTATTTTGCTCATGTTAAGAGAATCCAACCACGGTAGTATTTAAAAGCCTTATTTGAAAAAATTGTGTTGACTTATTTGAACAATGGTGTGTCAATACTGTTCTAAAAACAAAATTGTCGGCATAACACAGAAGCACGTACCTCACAGTAAAAAAAGGAAAGTTTTAATGCACATGGCAACAAATGACAACTCAATGGCCATATTTCTACCAAATTTCATCAAATAGACAACCTGATTTCAGTGTTAGAAATCGAGAACTTGCTAATTGCATCCAGAGAAGCTATGAAATCTTAGACAATATACTCTGAATCTGAGTTGGTTAGGTACGAGGCATATTCAAAATATGATGATTTCAGGAAGACATCCTGTAAAAATCAGACTATCTTCTGAAAACATCTCAGTGAAGGAATTAGCATTTGCCTGGAAGCTGGGTAAAACACAGCAGCTGTATCTAGACTTGACCTCAAACCAAGCAAAACTTCCACAAGTTTCACTTTTAGCACGAAGACCTAAGTGAAACCCGGAAGGTGAAAACCCACAACTAAACCAGCTCCACAAACATGTACGTCAAACCCTGCAGAAGTGAAACCAAGTTTTTCATGAAGTCGGAGATACTTCTGTTTGATTTAAAATGTATGATGGTGAAGTTAGCATCCAGCAAAGACTATTTAGCCCCCGAGAAATGAGTCATGGAAAGAATACTAGCCTTTCTAGAAATTCAGAGACCTGGGTCCTAGATCTTGCTTTGCCAAAAAGTCTATAAACTTTGGGCAAGTAACTTTCCCCTCACACCTCCCGTTTCCTCATTTCTGTAAAAAATAGGATTAAATGATATTTCATGTTTCTGAATCTCTACTTAGCTGTATGACTACGTGAATATTATTTAATGACTCAAATTTTTTGCTGTTAAATGATGCACATATTACATCCCCTGTATCATTCAAATGAATCAATAAGAATATACCAAAAACAACTTTGGAAAGGTGATTGGAAATTAGAAATATATTATTATCGTTTTGGCTTTTATTATTCATAAACTATATAGGATCCTTGGTGGCCCACTGGTTAAAGCGTTCGATTGCTAACTGGAGGGTTAGAGGTTCGAATCCACCACCCACTCCTTGGAAACCCTATGGGACAGTTCTCCTCTGTCCTATAGGGTCACTAGGAGTTGGAATTGACTCAAAGGGAACAAGTTTGGTTTTCTGGTTTTATAACCACGAGACTGCATTTGAGGAAGGAAAAAAATCTGAGAAATTACGGTGATGGTTGTGGGAATTAATGACTAGAAACATAATGGTTAACCACAAACGCAGGTGAACCCACAATGAATGAAAAAGAGAAAGAGAAAATATATGATGTTAAATTCTTCTCTAAACCTATTCCTTTGGGATATTACCATCATGAAATTTTAACAATTAGAACAGCGGTTGTCATGATGCTCAATGAAGTCTGTTAAGTGAAGGACACAATATAAGACTATGGATTTCAACTATCAGTGGTTCAGAAAACATATTAATTCAACTTCAATGTCATATTTGGAGCCCTGGTGGTGCAGTGGTTAAGAGCTTGGCTGCTAACCAAAAGGTCGTCAGTTTGAATCCACCAGCCGCTCCTTGGAAACCCTATGGGGCAGTTCTACTCTGTCCTATAGGGTTGCTATGAGTTGGAATCGATTCAAAGGCAGTGGGCTTGACTTTGTCATATTTGGTAACTATCAGGAGTTTATAAGGTATAAAAATTCCTATAAACTTCATAAGAAAACTGATTTTCCTGGATGATTTTTTAATCATAACCTGTGGTGGTTGATCTTAGAGGCATTAAAGTGCGTAATAATGAAGGATGGCAAAGGTGATAGCCTACACATGGAAACCACATGAAACTTAATTATTTGAACCTGAATGTCATAATTTTCTGAATACGTCAAGAAACTAGAGGATGGTGACCCCTGTACAAGGAGTTATTTGGCTTTTAATAGTTACTCAAATATAATGTAACACTTTTCGGTAATGCTGAGAGATGAGTGTATTTATATATACACATATATACACACACCAACCCTGGAGAAGGACATCATGCTTGGTAAAGTAGAGGGTCAGTGAAAAAGAGGAAGACCCTCAATGAGATGAATTGACACAGGGGCTGCCACAATGGGCTCTAGAATAACAACGATTATGAGGATGGTGTAGGACGAGGCAGTGTTTCGTTCTGTTGTACATAGGGTCACTATGCATTGAAATCGTCTCAACTGCACCTAACAACAACATTTACACCAAATACAGAGGAAGTTCGACTTGAGTTTTGAAGCTGGTGCTGTTAAACAACAGGGTTCGCGGAAGGATTCAGTAAGACCGCCTGCGCTTATGGCTGTTCAGTCGTTCGGTCACTGCAGAACTTCACTGATCAACAGCTCAGTGGAGAACAGTTTCTTTAACTAACTCATTCTGAGAATGAGAGAGTTGAGGTAAACTATTTATTCCTCGGTGAGGCTTTAGAGCATTTCAGCAGGAGGAAACAATGACGTAGTTTCCATTAAGAAACTGTCAGTGCGGATGCATTGCTTCAGGCACCTCTACATCGCTGGTCTCAGGTCTCAGGATCATCTTGAGAGAAGCACAAAGCAAAATTTCCTCTTCTCTAGCCTGAAATGGTCAAAGCTGTTTCTAGGCTGTCTTCTCTGTTTGAAGGGAGCATGACTCCTGTGCCCCAGTTAGCCCTCTTGAGAGAAAATCTATTGCCTGGATTTCATATTCAATAAGCACTTATTGTTCAAAACGTATGTATGATTAAATATAATATTTAAAATATAAGCTCAGGATTTAAGCTTTCTGGATTTGAATTCTACCTGTATCACTTACTAGTTATGTGACATTTTGAGTTAATTAACATATCTAAGCCTTTTCAGTTATTTGTTTACAAATAATAATACTCAACCAAAAACCAAACCAAACACATGGCCGTCCAATCGATTCTGACTCATAGTGACCCTATAATTATTGAGTGCTTAATATGTCAAGCACTATGTTAATTGCTTAATGTGTATCAATTCATTTAGTCCTTAGGACAATGCTATGTGGTAGAAATTATTATAATCTACATTTTTTTGGAAGAAGATCTCTGATTTTGAGCAAAGTCACATAGCTAACAGGTAAAGGAGCTGGGATCTGAACTCACAAAATCTGACCTTCTTAGTTGTGAGTTCATATCCCACGTCCTTTATCTGTTAGCTATGTGACCCCATAAACATCTAATTTAATCTTCATAATACCAGTATGTTATCCAAATGTACAAGATTTAGAGAAATTAGGTGTCTTGATGGAAACGATGAATGAGTGACAGAACCAAGATTTGGCTTAGGAGTTCTGATTCCGTGACTAATATTCTTTCTGCTACACCATTCTCTCTCCTATGCTCCATGTTATTTGTAATTTTGGTAAAGGATTTTCTGGAAACACAATGGTGGGAGTCACTGGAACATATCTTCTTCAAAACAGATTGCTATATACTCATGTGTATTTATAAAGGTGACTTATTAAGTTAATTAGATTTCTTTTAACCCTTGTTTGCACATTAACACTGAATAATTATTAAGAGTCTGTGAGAATTATTTTTTAGGATGTGTTATGGATTGAATTGTGTTTCCCTCTGTGTCAACTTGGCTAGGCCATGATTCCCAGTATTGTGTGATTGTCCACCATTTTGTCATTTTTATGTGATTTTCCTGTGTGTTGTAAATCCTATCTCTATGATGTCAATGAGGCAAGGTTAGAGGCAGTTGTGTTAATTAGGCAGGCCTTAATCTACAAGATTAGGTTGTATCTTGAGTCAATCTCTTTTGAGATATAAAAGAGAGAAGCCAGCAGAGAGATGGGGGGAACTTCTACCACCAAGAATGAAGAACCAGGAGGGGAGTGCATTCTTTGGACCCAGGGCCTCTGCGCTGAAAAGCTTCTAGACCAGGGGAACATTGATGATGAGGACACTGCCCCAGAGCCTACAGAGAGAGAAAGATTTCCCCCGGAGCTGTTACCCTGAATTTGTACTTCTAGCCTCCTTGACTGTGAGAGAATAAATTTCTCTTTGTTAAAGTCATCCACTTGTGGGATTTCTGTTATAGCAGCACTAGATAACTAAGACAGAGTGAATAGATCTAGAACATTCCTTTGCTTCTTTAATGTCATTTAAATTATTTAGCATCAGTATGTTAATTAAGTACTCAAATGTTTGAAAGGGAAATATATAAGGTAGGATGAACCTGTGAGATATTAGTCAAAAATATTTACCTTGTACTCACAACTGGAATCAATTAGCCTCTGGAATTTGAAAGCCGGTTTCTACCAATTCGATCCACAGGGATACCAAATCGCCTTTTGGGGTGCTCTACTACTTTCCTGAAACAAAGCAATAACATTTTTAGACTAAAGGCCAATTTATCAATTATTACTTTTGCTTTTTTATTTCATGCAGATTCAGGGACTTTCCTTGGGAGGCAGGATAAAAATTATAGTTACCATTCGTTGATCACTCAGTGTGAGCCAGACACTATCTCTTATCCTTTCAACATCCATCAAAGTAGGCATTACCGCCATTGAGGCCTAGAGAAGTTAACCAAATCCAAGATCAAATTACCCATTGTCTGTAGAGCCTAGATGAAAAATCAGGGCTTTCCAGCTTTAGAGGTAATGCTTTTTCCACCGTGGCAATCTGTTAACTAGGTACTTTAGTTTGGGTAATCCACTTCCCTCTTTAGATTTTGGTATATTTTTCCGTTAATTGAGGAAGATTGGACTAGATTAGTGGTTTTCCCCAATCTTTGTCTCAGAATGTTTCTTCGGAGATTAGGGAGCGTGGTGGTGGTAGAGAAGAGGGTGCTGATACTAAGGCTAAATACGGAGTGAGTGTGACTCTTCCGTCTCCACTCAATCCACGTTCAGAAAAGCTCTTAGAAGTGTTGCTGTATGTTGTTTATATATTCTTTGTGTCAAATTTTGTTTGAGAGAAACACTACTAAGAAGGGAAGATTTAAAAAAAATCCACTGGACCATAAGAAGCCTAGTACAACTTGTAGCTTGTCTATCCTATAAATTACCTCTTTAAAAAGAAGAAACATTTTTATTTGATTTGTTATTGTCATCACTTAGTGTTATCAAACCAAAATCCTAACAGGAGAGGTCCCAGAACTTTGAGTGTATAACTTTCACTGGCCTTGGAATTAAAAGGTGTTTTGAGTCCTCTTAATGAAGATTGAGATAGGTGGGCGAAACTAAGAAGCCTATGTAAGCTGGCGACTTGTTTCCCAGTTAAAGATAACTGGCGTATAGATTTTTTAGACTTTTTATTGACATAAGTGCAGGTGAGAGATGTTCTCTCTGTTTTTATAATGATTTCAGATCCCATGAGGTATAAGTCACTATTATGCTTTCAAAATACGTATGTATAATCACTCATAATATGAATTCAGAAATAAAACTATATCTACCTTTGTGAAGCTCTCTAACATTAACTATAGATCATTAGAAACCTGTAAGTCATTAGAAAGTTGCTTATAGAACTTCTGAACTGAGAGATACAAGCATGTGAAGAATGTGGTAAACAAGCTTTAAGTTGACTTTGACCCAGCATCCTGTGGTAAAAGAAGACATCTTTGTAAACTATCCTTGAGACATAAATCTAAACAACCTTGCTAATCTCTAGCCTTGAAGAAAAATGTGGCATTCGGGTAATCTCTAACCCCAGAGAAATTACATAACATACTGGACTTTGATGTTATGCTGGCCCTTATTGTGTTAGGCCAAGGTAAGAATATCATGTATAAACCCTGAATTCTTGCTCACTCACTGAGAGAAGGCAGAGACAAAGTGCTTTCTCTAGTCTCTTACTCTCTCTGAAGGCCGAGAGCCTGCTGAAGCTCTGCCCGTCGCCACCGATCTTGGACCCCAGCAACGAGGGACCTCTGCCAAGTTCCAGCAGTGTTTAAGCCTTCCTCCCAAAACCTCTCATCATTAAGGGTAAAAGCCTGAAGGCTAATGAGTTGAACTCTAACCATTGAACAACACTGTAACTGTTTATTCTGATTCTTTGGTTCTAAATGAAAGTTGTGAGGTCTTGCTTGCACGTGTTGCCATGATTACCTTGCAGTAAACTGAACAAGCTTACGCGTGACAAACCTGAATATCTCCCTATTAATTTTCTAGGATAAAACCCTGCATGACAAAAGGTCATATTTTAAGTGAACAATATTATACATAAGTGCAATAAGCACACAGATCAAGAAACAGAACATTACCAGATGTCAAATTTTTTGACTTGACAGGGAACATCTAGCTCAATTGACATAATATAGTTTATAAAGAAAATGTTCTACATTCTACTTCGATAAGTAGCGTCCAGGTTCTTAAAAGCTTATGAGCGGTCATCTAAGATACTCCACTGGTCTCACCCCATGTGGAGCAAGAGAGAATGAAGAAAACCTAAGACACAAGGGAAAGATTAGTCCAAAGGACTAATGGACCACAACTTCCATGGCCTCCACCAGACTGAGTCCAGCACAACTAGCTGGTGCCTGGTTACCACCACCGACTGCTCTGACAGGGAGCACAATAGAGGGTCCCGACAGAGCTGGAGAATGTTGTTGTCAGTTACTTTGGAGTTGGCTCCGACACGTGATGACCTTGTGTACAACAGAACAATACATTGCCTGGTCCTGCACCATCTTCCTGATTGTTGGTATGTTTGAGTTCATCACTGTGGCTATTTTAATGCAAATAGTAGAGGAAATATCTCTCATTTTCATTGATGCCAGGTTTTTACCTCAGCAATCAGATCTCATCAATGTTCCAAGATTGTTATCACTATCAAGTAAATAATTTATTAAAAAACTCTGAAAAGCATAGAGAACATTGGGAACATGAGGCTCTTTATTGCTGTACTTTGCACATAGAAAATTCTATAAGCATTGCTTATTTCTAAATAAAATTATTTGAAGGTAGAGATAGCCCAGTGAATTTTTTATTCATTATTTTACCCATTCTTTCAATTAATAATTACTTAGTACCTTCTGTTAAGAGCTCCGCTACTAACCAAAAGATTGGCAATTTGAATCCACCAGCTGCTCCTTGGAAACTCTATGGGGCAGTTCTACTCTGTCCTACAGGATCACTATGAGTTGGAATCAACTCAGTGGCAATGGATTTGATTTGGCGTAGTACATTCTGTATGCCGGACACTGTACTCAGTGCTATGTATATAGAAGATGATAAAAATAGACGTGGGCCCTAACAGCATGGAGTTGACCCTCAAATGATACTATTGGAATAGAGCTGTGCTAAGTTTTTCATCTACTACCGACTTTTTTCCTGCTTATTCACCTCGGCCTTCCTTTCTTAAGTTGATTCTTGGTTTTGGTAGTCAATGCTATTTGCAATGACTATATGTATGATGGAAGCCATGGTGGTGTAGTGGTTAAAAGTTCATCTGCTAACCAGGAGGTCAGCAGTTCAAATCCACCAGGCGCTCCTTGAAAACCCTATGGGCCAGTTCTACTCTGTCCTATAGGGTTGCTATGAGTTGGAATTGACTTGATGGCAACGGGTTATATGTGTGCTCTTATAAACTTTTGTTTTCTAGATAACAATTTAATCCAGTCAATTCAGTGGGGTGGGGGGTGGGGAATCTAGGAAAAAAAATTTAATGTTTATCTGATTTTATCTATAACCTTGTCTCCAGTTTTCAATTGGTTGTTATTATTTCTGGAAAAGACAGCCTCTTACGTGGTGTTGGTTGGTCGTACTTCTTCTGTATTTCTTGATACTAAATTGACTTCATATTTTTCACCTTGGGAAACATGTTAACTTTAAAATTAGCTTAAAATTCATGGTCAAGAATAGTGAGAAACAATGCATACTAGTCATGCGTTAGGTCTTCTGATATAATTACAAACAATGGCTGTTGAAAGGAAAAGAAAAATGTCTCCTTTATATTTTTTATTCTTTTTGGCCACGTAAGTAAATTTATAGATTCTTCATTTAAGCAATCGTTTTTCTTGTGATAGTCAGAAAAATGCCCCCCCCCAAGTCGTCCACATCCTAAGCCTGAGAACCTGTGACTATATTACCTTGCACAGCAAAAGGGACTTTGTAGATATAATGAAGGTTAAAAAACTAACAAACAAAAAAAAGCCGTTGCCATCAATCGATTCCGACTCATAGCAACCCTATAGGACAGAGTAGAACTGCCCCATAGGGTTTCTAAGGAATACCTGGTAGATTTGAACTGCCGACCTTTTGGTTAGCAGCCATAACTCTTAACCACTACACCACCAGGGCTTCCATAATTGAGGTTAGGAACCTTAAAATGGGAAGGTTATGCTGGATTATCTGAGTGGGTCCAATCTAATCACAAGGAAGATTAAAAGTGGAGAATAACTGAAGAGTGAGTCAGAGAGATGCAAAGTGATTACTGAACACACCATTGCTGGTTTTGAAGATGGAGAAAGGGTCACGAACCAAGGCATCCAGCAACCTCTAGAAGTAGGGAATGGCCCTCAGTTTATAGTCAGAAAGAAAATGAGGATCTCCATCCTACAACTACGAGGCACTGAATTCTGTCAACAACCGAGTAAGCAGAAAATGGATTCTCCCCTAAGGTCGCCAGGAAGGCAAACAGCCTGCCGATACCTTGATTTTAGCCTAGTGAGACCGTATTGGACTTCTGACCTACAGAATTGTGAAGTACAGTAGTTTATAGTCATTTGTTAAGGCGGCAGTAGGAAACGAATACATTCCTATATGTGACTTAGGACTTCTGTCTAAGTATGAGGTGGTTAATATGTAGAATATATTGATATAATTTTCACTCCTTTAACCCTTAAATTCATTTACTGACTATTCCACCATTACAACTTCAGGAAAGGGGTAATGCAGAAGCCAGCTCAGGATGGAGGAGAATGCTTAGGGAAAGTCCCTAATAACAGAGGAAGTGAAAAATACACCCCTTCCAGGTGTTTAAAGGGTTTACGAGAAGCAGAAGGATACGGCAGCTGGGGAAAACAGCAGTGCTACATGTGTAATGACCTCCAAAAGCCCCTATGGAAGAGACATTCTGTTTTACAAAGTCCCAAATATCATTCTAGACAACGTTTTCTAGTCTTCCTCACGATTAGGTGGAGCCATGTGATTGAGTTCTTAGCCAAATTCCTCCTACATCTTGCTCTAAGTTCTCTCTTTTGCCTGCCTACCAGCTGAATGGAAACCCTGGTGATGTAGTGGTTAAGCACTACAGCTGCTAACCAAAAGGTCGGCAGTTCAAATCCACCAGGCGCTCCTTGGAAACTCTATGTGGCATAACTTACCATGACTAAGACAATTCTAGAGGGGAAGACATGTTAGAAAAG